GGCCTGGGAAGATGATTTCCAGAGAGTGCCTGCCTTCTGCCTCCTGTCATCCTGTCCCTCCCTCCTGGTGCAGCCAAGCCTTCTGGCTCTCATGCTTCACCTTGCGATGGTCTCCGAGGAACATTTTACTTTAATTTTTTTCTTAAAGGAAGGAAGTTCTTTTTTTTTTTTTTAATGTTTTTTAAAAAAATGTTTATTTTATTTTTGATTGAGAGAGAGACAGCATGAACAGGGAAGGGGCAGAGAGAGAGGGAGACACAGAATCCGAAGCAGGCTGCAGGCTCGGAGCTGTCAGCACAGAACCCGATGAGGGCTCACACTCATGAACTGCGAGATCATGATCTGAGCGGAAGTTGAACGCTTAACCGACTGAGCCACCCAGGCGCTCCTAATGTTTTTTTATTTAATTATTTGCTTCAGAGAGAGAGAGCACAAGTTAGGGTGGGGCAGAGAGAGGAGGACAGAGGATCCAAACAAAGCAGGCTCTGCGCTGACAGCAGGGAGCTCATGTGGGGCTTGAACTCATGAACTGAGAGATGGCGACTGAGCCCTAGGTTGGATGCTCAAACGGCTGAGCCCCCAGGCGCCCCTCCAAGGAACACTTTAAGAACCGATCCTTAAGGAGGTCAGCTGCAGCTTACTGAGTGCCTGCTGTATGCTCTGCATTTTACACGTTGGGTAAAATGACCTGTTGGGTGTTTTCTCACTCTCCCAGAAGCCCTTAGAAGTAGGTATTATTAGTATGCTCACGTTGGCCTGAGGAAACATCTGGAAGGGGTGAAATGATGTGTCTGAAGGCACAGAGCTGCTACATCCGTGGCTGAGCCGGTTAACTCCAAAGCTGGTGCTTCACGGTGCCTCTGGAAGGAAATTTGGAAGGATTTAATGGCGGGTGGGTTTTATATTTACATCTATGTGAATAACTAAAAGCTAGCACTAAAAGGCCACGGGTGGCATGGTTGGGGGGGGGGGATTTCCAAAGCTGTTTCAGGCATTATACCTTCTAGATTAGTGAGATACCACTTGAAGATCACCAAATCATTCTAGTCCCAGGTCGGGAATCTCTAGTGGGAGGATCACCAAGGTAGAAGGAGACTTTGGGTGGCTGCCTCTGTGCCAGGCAGGTCCTGGGCTGGTGGGGACAGACGGACACTCCAGAAGGAGCATGTGGAAGCGATGTGGAGAAAGAAGGCAGAGATATGCGGGTGGAGCCAACGTTGACCGAGTGTACGTCCTGTGCCAAGCCCTTCTGGGTGCTTTCTGTGGGAGTTGTCACTCAGGCTTCCCGGGAGCCCTGCCAAGTGGGTATGCCCCTGGTTTTCCAGGAGGATTTGGCTCCGAAAGCTTAGGCAAGATCACACAACCAAGAAGTAGCAGAGCAGGTACCCCAGAAAAAGCTCTAGATGGTTCCTGGGCACCTACCTACTGCTTATCAGAATAGATCCTCAGATGAAGGGGTATGCAAATATATATACTATGTATATATATATATATAGTACATATATATACACATGTATATATATATACACATATATAGTACATATATATACATGTATATATAGTATATATATTATATATAGTATATATATACTATATATATATGCAAATATATATACTATATATACTATATATATATGCAAATATATATAGTATATATATTCATATAAAACAAAAGACACAGAGAGGCAGAGAGAGCCTCAAGCAGGCTGCACACCCCAGTGTGGACCCCGACGTGAGGTCGATCTCACGAACTGTGAGATCATGAGCTGAGCCGAGATCAAGAGTCGGACGCTTCACCGACTGAGCCGCCCAAGGCTCCCCGAAGCGGTGTAATATTGATGCGGAAGAGAAGCCAAAAGGTCGCACGGACTTTGAACTTTGCATCCGAAAACGCTTCCCTGGCCACTTCGATTTCCTTTTCTGTAAAATGGGTTGGACGCCACCTCCCTCCGGAAGCTGCCATGACGGAGATCACGCGGTGACTTGTCCCGTGTCGCATAGATGCGACGTATGACGCTTCCCGCCTCCAGCGTCGTTGGCTTCCCTAGTGCCTGTTATCGAGTCTCTGCCACCGCCTGCTCTAACTCAGTCTCCCCACTTCTTCCAGGACCCGCGGAGAACGAATGCCAAGAAATCTTGTGCAGGTGCGACCAGGAGATCGCTAACTGCTTAGCCCAGACTGAGTACAACCTAAAGTACTTACTGTACCCGCGTTTCTTGTGTGAGACAGACTCGCCCAGGTGTGACGGACCAGCCTGACGTGGAATGTTCTTTTGTACGAGGAAATAAAACTCTTTTTCGCTCATCAGCAGCTGCCTTCAGTTCTTGGCAGGAGGGAACGGAGGCCGAGTGTGAAGGCTGCAACCCTTGTTTGCTTTCTCTCCCGGAACTTGGGCCGGAGCCTGTGTGGTTTCCAGTTGAAGGTCAAAAGTCCCATGCTTATTTTATACAAACCACAACCGTGCTTGGGGCTGTATTGGGTTTGGTGCCATTTTTGAGGCTCGCCCTTTATATGAAAAGGGCTGAACTCGGTCTTCTAACCTGCTCCTGGTGGTGGGTGGTCAAACGTGAAGGAACACCCACCGTGTGCCTGGCCTGGCTCTGGGTTTCCAGACGAGGCCGTAAACAAGGTGCTCGCTCTTGGGAAGATCTAGTCTAGGAGTTAGCAGCTTAAGAAGGAATATTCTTTCCCATCCGTCTCTGCCTAATGGTTGAACTTCCTGATTACAGAAGTGGTATATAGTCAGTGTTTACAAAGATAAAGGAAAACAAAGACAAATATAAAGGAGGGGAGAAAAATCACTTCCACGATCCAGAAAAACCACTTGTGGCATTTCTGGGTGCTACTGTCATTGTTTTCTGTAATGTTCAAAAATGCAGTTGAGACCATCACATGGGATTTTTCTAAGTTTTTCCCCAGGTCATTAAAAAACCTTTGATAACTTCATTTTTTTTTTAAATTTTTTTTTCAACGTTTATTTATTTTTGGGACAGAGAGAGACAGAGCATGAACGGGGGAAGGGCAGAGAGAGAGGGAGACACAGAATCGGAAACAGGCTCCAGGCTCTGAGCCATCAGCCCAGAGCCCAACGCGGGGCTCGAACTCACGGACCGCGAGATCGTGACCTGGCTGAAGTCGGATGCTTAACCGACTGCGCCACCCAGGCGCCCCTTGATAACTTCATTTTTAAAAACGTTTTATTTATGAGAGAGAGAGAGAGAGAGAGAATCCGAAGCAGGCTCCAGGCTCCAAGCTGTCAGCACAGAGCCCGACGCAGAGCTCGGACCCACAAACTGTGAGATCATGACCTGAGCCAAAGTCGGACGCTCAATCGACTCGAGTCACCTAGGCACCCCCAGAATTTCATTTTAAATGGTTACCTACTGTTTTATAGGTTGCCGACTTTGGGGGTACTGGTGATATTTCCAGTTTTGATCGATTGTTGATGTGATGAGGATGCTTGTGAATCTTTGCCACACCCCCCCACCCACGTTTTGATTGTTCCTTAACCCAGAGTAGGGGCCGAGGGCAGGCGGCCCCAACACGGGAAACTCTGGCCTGAAGATTATTTTGAGCTGAAGCAACAGAGACCCTGCAGGCTCAACAAGAAACCCCTGCCCCTCCCTTAACTACCTCGAAGCATCTAAATTGGGGTCTGTCCTAGAAGAAGGGTTATTACCAGAGATAAATTTTATCTGAATGGCCCATCTGTATGGCAGGGCCAACATCTCATTACCAGACATCAACTCTTCTTGCCCCATGAAAGGCATGCCTTCCCTTTGAAGTCCCACACCCCTACCCCCTTCTCCTTAGTTCAGGATGGACATAAAGGCCTCGTTTTGCCCGTCTTTGGAATATCCATGCCCGTGTGGCTCTCCCGTATGTACCAAGTTAAATTTGATTCTCTCCTATGAATCTGATTCTTACTCGACCTGGAAGGACCCCGAATGGGATCAGGAATTCTTGCTCCCTGACAGCAGATTTGCAGAAGTGGAGTGTTTGCATCAAAGGGTCTGAATGTTTTTGACCAACGCCTCCTTCTGATGTACCCAACCCGCTATGATCGAGTGGGTCTGAGGGAGGAGGCGGCCAGTGGCCCTTGCCCTGACTGTACCTGTCTCTGGCAATAAGAAGCCAGAGTCTGGCCCAGTCCGCTTGCTCTAGGCCAGTCTTTGCCCCTCCTCCTTCACAGGGCATATGTGGCTATTACACACTCATCTTTGGAGCAGGATGTGGGGAGCAGGTGGGGACAGCGTGAGGCCACAGGGTGCAGGTGGGGGCACTGGACCGGCAGCGTGGCCTGGGCCCAGCTCCACCAATGCCAGCCAGCCTCCACGTGCTCATCTGGACAGGAGAACGGTGGCTCAGCCAGGCACCAGACCAGCGATGTCAAATACTGTGCGGTGTCTCCAGACCTGTCGCTGTCCGTGAAACACGCAAAGTCAGGCAGCCCTGGGGCCTGACGAGCAAACGCAGGAGGTAAAAAACACTGTCCCTCCTTTCACTTAAGACACCTTGGGGTGGCTCCCTGGTTCCATGTTCACAGCAGGCTGGGGGATTTAAGCGTGACTAGTAGGTTGGTCAGGCAATGCAGATTTTCTGCACAGTGTCTAAGCAATTTTTTCTCTATAGAGAATTAAAAAGATTTTTTTTTAAGTTTACTTATTTTGAGAGGGGGCGGGGGAGAAAGAGACAGAGAGAGAGTGAGAGGGAATCCCAAGTAGGCTCCACTCTGTCAGCCCACGTGGGGCTCAAACTCGAACCGTGGGATCATGACCTGAGCTGAAGTCGGACGCTTAGCCGACCGAGGCACCCAGGCACCCCTAAAATGTTTTTTAATGTTTATTTGGGGGGGGGGGGCAGAAAGAATCCCAAGCAGGCTCCCCTCTATCAGTGCACAGCCCCATGAGGGGCTTGAATTCACAACCTACGAGATCACGACCTGAGCCAAAATGAAGAGTCGGATGCTCAACCAACTTGAGCCACCCAGGCGCCCCTATAGAATTTTTATCTATATAAAAATCTTTATTTTACTTTCAAGTGATTTCTTCAAACTTTCAGTTGCAAAGTTTGAGTGAAATCTTCAAAGATCAAAGGAGTAACGAGTGGTTCACAGAGTCACAAAACTTACCTCTGGGGCCAATCTTCAGATGGCTCAAATTCACACTTGATATCTTCACACCAGAAAGAAATAAGGGCCCTGCCTCATCTTATTCATATTTACAACTACAGCACTTGGTGTAATTATACCTTGCTGTTTTATACATCAGAACAGGACAATAAGAGAATACAGTGTGAGGTCAAGGTACAAAATGTTTCCTTGAACATAAGGGCTCTCCTGGATTTTACAGATTAAATTCCTGAAAACCAACCATATAAACCCCCACACAGTAATTTTAAGTGGCACCGAGGCAGCGCGGCCTGATGAGAATGACCCTCCATTACTGCCTGACTTCGTCCTCGACACCCCCCTGGGAGTTAGGGATCCAAAGTTGCAGTGATTAAATGCAGAGAACACTGACGACAGTCTGACCACCACTCCGTCTCGAACCCTTTTAGAGGCTTCCATCTGAAAAGCCTACCACCTCTTTAATAATACAGAATCGTCCATCGGATTTGAGCTTTTCCTCCGTATTTTTTATGCGCAACTGTCTGTGCCTATGACAAAATCTTTTCCCGTTTTCCTAAATTTGATTCAGAGGACAGGCCTGGCCCCAGCAAGCCTGGTCTCAGGCTCAGCCTTGTGCTGCCAACTCGCCCCGGGAGCCTCTGTCCGTCACTGAGGTCAGGGCAAGCGGGACTGCTGACCCAGCAGCCTTCTGAAGTCACCAGACTGCATCCTCTAGGGACCCCAAGTCCCTGACAGCCCCGGTGGACGGGGCCTCCCAAGGGCCTGTGAGGAGGGCGGCTGGGGGGAGAGGTGCTGTCGCTGTGTCAGCCAAGCTCTGGGATGTCAGTCCCCGCTGCCACGATGCCGCAGGCAGAGGGGCAGAGGACCTGGTTGTAGCCTCTGACAAAGCAGCACCTTGTTCGCGGGGCAGAGAAACAGGAAGTCCACCCCCCCCCCCGCCCCCTACTCGAGCATCGGTGCGCACATGTCGAGGAGGCTGGAAGAATCCTTCAGAGCCTGGGCACTGCCAGTCACAACACCTGGGTTTCCAGCCGTCGGACTTCCTTGACCACAAGATCGATATTAATAATTGGGTTGAAGTACAGGGCCCAGTAAAATAGACAGTTGCAGACAAACTGAGGAATGAGGGGCCAGAACATGGCCACAAAAAGCCCCTGTGTCGATACTTTCCAAAAATGGCTCCACATCCTCTGAGGCACAGTCCTGTAAAAAGAAGAGAAGCCTCTGAGGGGCGGACTCGTGACGACGCCCAAGTGCTCGGACACCGGGCCTTTATCCTGATGCACAGCCTGGCTGCCTGTGCTGCGCCGACCTTGCTTCCTCTCCCCTGGGGCCTGAGACGCACCTCTGCCTGACCGACTTCCACCCCCAGGAGGCAGCCCCACACCAGGTGAGGGCCCCCAGCACAGCCCCACCTGCTTCATCGCTGTGTCGCACTTGCATGCATCTCACAGACACGGTTTCTCTGTGAGGCTGTAGGCCGTCAGGGTCCAGACTGTCTTCTCTTTTTGTTTTTTGTTTTAATGTTTATTTATGTTTGAGAGAGAGAAAGAGCACAAGCGGGGGAGGAGCAGAGAGAGAGGGAGACACAGGATCCGAAGCAGGCTCTGGGCTCTGAGCTGTCCGCACAGAGCCTGACACGGGGCTCAAAACCATGAGCCGTGAGACCATGACCCGAGCTGAAGTCAGACGCTTAACTGAGCCACCTAGGTGCCCCCAGACTGTCTTCTTTACCGAAACATCTGCAGTGCCCAGCAGAGAGCCCGGGACAGAGCGGGGGCTCAACTAACTGTGCATGAATGAACCAATAGGAGATTCTTGTCAGGTTTTTGGAACTATTTATAGGGCTGTTACTGACTGACGAGGCCAAGAACTCTTTGAGTCATGGGATGTTTAAGGCCGGTGCGATGCTGCTGTGGGGCTGTGTTACTTCTACCTGTCTAGGAGCCACCCCCTTTCTTCTGGAAATGCCTTCTGAGTTTTCCTTCTGGGGGCCTCCTTCCTCATTTTTTGCCATGTGGTCTCGGTGGGGCTGATGAAGCCAGCCCTTGGTTGGGGGGTGAGAACAGGTCCTGAGCCTGGATAAGGAGAGCCTGGCATGACTCTGCATCATGTGGGAGGTCTGGGTGGGCATGTGACCCAGGCTGGGCCAATCAGAGCAAAGGACCGTGTGCCCCCCCCCCCCCCCTTGCCCGACTGTCAGTGCTATGGGGAAAGAAGTGCCCTCTCTCCACCAGGGTTGCTGAGCTGCTCAGATGTATGCCCGGAGTGACTAAGGGCCCTGCATGAAGTCAGCTGAGGCTGAACAACAACACAGCAAAGAGAGGGAGAGGGCGAGTCCTGATGACAGCATTTGGGTCTCTGGGTCTAGCCATGCGGGAAGCCTTGACTGGGCATTTCTCTTTTTTTTTTTTTTTAATTTTTTTTTCAACGTTTATTTATTTTTGGGACAGAGAGAGACAGAGCATGAACGGGGGAGGGGCAGAGAGAGAGGGAGACACAGGATCGGAAACAGGCCCCAGGCTCCGAGCCATCAGCCCAGAGCCCGACGCGGGGCTCGAACTCACGGACCGCGAGATCGTGACCTGGCTGAAGTCGGACGCTTAACCGACTGCGCCACCCAGGCGCCCCTGGGCATTTCTCTTTTTAAGAAAGCCAATTTAGGGGCACCTGGGTGGCTCAGTCCGTAAAGCGTCTGACTCTTGGTTTCAGCTCAGGTCCTGACCTCACAGTTCGTGAGTTCAAGCCCCGCATCAGGGTCCAGGCTGACAGTGTGGAGCCTGCTTGGGATTCTCTCTCCCTCTCTGCCCCTCCCCTGCTTGTTCTTTCTGTTTCTCAAAAATAAAGAAATAAACTTAAAAAAAAAAAAAAAAAGGAAGGAAAGCCAACCAAGAGGCACTTGCAACCAAGAGTCCCGGCCCAACTCTCTCATTTTATGCATTAATCTAGAGAAGTTATTAGTGTCCCGGCTGACGGCACAGCAGGATTAGAACTCATGCCTACAGAATTCCTCACCAGATCTCCTTCTGCTCTACCCTACTGCCCCTTTCCATAAAGCACCCACTTCTCCTTACTTACGTATTCCTTCCTCAAACCCTTCACGCACACCCCCACCCCCGGGAATGACATGGTCTGTTCTTACACGGGGAGAAGATAAATGGAGACACACTTGTCCAAGCCCGCCCCCCCCCCCCCCCCCCAGACACGAGGAAATTGTCCCATCTGCTGCTTAAGCCACATCCACAAATCAGAGCAAGGAGTGTTTTCACGTCTGCGTAATCAAGAGGACTCTTCTACTACCTGGGACCGCTTTCTCAGAAGTGCCGGCTGCTCCTGCCACCTCCAGTGTAAACACACACTTACTTCAGTTCACTTCGTGACCAGATCCTCCAAAAGGAGAATAATTCCAGAACCGAGAGTAACATGGCATTGACGATGAGAAAACGTGATGTCCAGTAATGGACCTCCAGCCAGTCCCAAGCAAATTCAGCAATCAGCTGGTATGGAAGGAAGGAGTATTTGACAAGGAATCCTCTCCATTGCTTCCAGGTGGGCTCTCTTAGATCCTTTAGAGTAACATAAAAGTAAGCAAAAGGTGGACACAAAAAATCATTAGGATTGACTCTTACAGACTATACTGCAGTCATCACGGTGAACTTTACATTTACTAAAACACACAGATATCCAACAACATAACACGAAATTTTCCACCCATCGACTCACCTTTTAAGAATCTTATACTGGATAAATGTTACTGAGGAAGCTGAAAAGAGATGCTGGTTATGGAATTGCGGAAGCTCAGAAGTAAAAGTAAAAAAAAACTCCAAAGCCTGAGTTATAAATAATGAGGGTGCAGGGGCGCCAGGGTGGCTCAGTCAGCGGAGCATCTGACTTCAGCTCAGGTCACGATTTCATGGTTCTTGAGTTCGAATCCTGCGTCGGGCTCTGTGCTGACAGCTCGGGGCCTGGAGCCGGCTTCGGATTCTGTGTCTCCCTCTCTCTGCCCCTCCCCCACTCATGCTTCTGTCTCTGTCTCTGTCTCTCTCAAAAGTAAATAAACATTAAAAAATAAAATAAAATAAATAAATAATGACGTTGCAATGAATGGAAATTAACCAGTTTTAAAATTTCTTCATCACTGCATGGGTAGCTCAAACAATTTCCTAAATTCAACATCTTTGCTGTGGTAGGATAACAGATCATGGGGAAAATTAAACATACACTTTGAAAAAGTAATTTTGGGGAAAATAAAAAACTCACTACAGTTATTAGCAGATAATAAACCAGAGCATTTAAACAACTCATCGAGGCATCCAGAAGGCTTACGGAAGTGTAACAGGACTGTGCACTATGGAGCAGATACTAAGTATCCCAAGAAGAAAGTGAGCCTCATGAGCACAGGGGTTGTTGAGGCTTGTGAAAATGGAAAGGTAAGAGGTGGGGTCTCTGTTCTCCCAGTCCAGAGAGGGCAGGTAATAGCAGGAAACTGGGTAATTAGGCAAACACTGTGCCTAAGGGCTAATTAGCAGGCTTTCAACTACATCCAAGGCTCAAGTCAGGCAGATACCTGACTTTAGTATTTTAAAAAGGGTTTTTGGAGATTTAGAAATTCGTAGTTTTGTTTTTTTAAGTTTATTTATTTGAGAGAAAACGTGGTGTGTGCACGTGTGAGCTGGGGAGGGGCAGAAAGAGGGGGAGAGAGAGAATTCCAAGCAGGCTCCATGTGGTCAGTGCAGAGCCCGACACGGGGCTTGATCTCATGAACCGCCAAGATCGTGACCTGAGCTGAAATGAAGAGTCGGATGCGTGACCGAGGGAGCCACCCAGGCACCCCTAGAAATTATTTTAACATTTATGGGTGTGGATCATACACGATGCTTCCTACATCCATGTGACTTTTAATTTAAATAGATCAGAGGGACTGCCCCAAGAGCAGCAATGCAAAGGACAGTACCCTGCAATGACCAAGCAGACACAGAGACAGCCCTGTGTAAGTGGGATCCACCAACAATTCTGAAGACACAAAAGCCAACGTGGATACCTATCTCTGCCAGGGGCCTATGGTCAGCTGAGGTGACCACTCCCATCAGTGAGCTGGACAATGGCTTACTTTTCTGAGGCCCCCAGGATGGATGCTAACCCTCCCTTGCAGTGGGACAAATGATCATCCTTCGGGGATCCTCTTCGAGACAGACCACCAAGGTGGAAGGTCCATAAATTTAACCCTCAGGCAATCTGAACTTATTCTATCTTCTTTTATAACAAAAGCGATGCCGGTTTTTCCCCCCCGTAAATATTTCAAGTCCAGAGGGGAGCCTTCTTGTTACGCAATGCAGGAAATAAAACAGGCTTCTGGGAGTGGGGAAGTTCTGCTTGATTTTCTTTTGGAGGGGCTCTCCTTGCAAAAAACAAATGAAGGCTGGGCGTCGTTGGCTCTTCTGTGACAGCTACAGCCCCGTCTCCAATTCCATACCGCACCAAGGAGTGCCATTCAAGGCACTGTGCAGACCTACCAGAAGCTTGGTGATGATGTCCTCCCCAGAATTGTCTTCCTGCAGGGGGCAGATGGTGTGGATGAAGGGCAGGAAGGTGTCTGTGTAGTCAAATAGGTAGAGGTATAGCAGACCAAGTCTCGGGGAGCTCTTGAGGGCATAGAGCAGGAACAGGGACCTGCCTGGGTTCACCGCCTGCAGAGGACAAGGCGAGCGTGGGGTCACATCACAACCACGGCAGCCAGCTCCCCACCCATGCTCCCTCCACAGTCTCACGCCCTTTGCCTTCAGCTTTTCTGTGTGTGGTTTGCACAGTGAATGAATGGGTGGCAAGAAGAGGCCAAGGAATCAATCTGTCGGGCTCTATTTAATAAAGACCCAATCCTTCTCCATGGCTTTGGTGTGTGCGTGTGGGGGAGGTAGAGGGGTGCTGAGACATACACTCCCAGGCGCTGCTAGGAAAACCCAACTTTTTTGGAAAACAATTTTGTAAAATGTATCAAAGAGTCTTCAAAATGTTCAATTTAACCAGTGTATTAGTGGGCACCGCTTAAAAGGAAATCAGAAATACAGAAGGCTTTATGCACAAAATGTTTCGTGCTGCAGTGTAAGAGAGAAAAAGTGAAATCTGAGAGCTAAGTAATGAAGTTACAGTGGATGTTCAGCACGGAGTTCACGCAGCCCATTGAAAAGTGAATATGGGCATTTTTGGATGATGCTCTTGCTACAGTGTTAGGTGAAAAAAGGATTCCAAGACATGTGGCGATCCGATCTCTGCGCTGTCAGCCCCACACAAACCAGGCCTCTTTCGTGACCTTTCCGAGAGCAGCACCTGGCTCACAACAGATAGAAAGATTTGTGGAATGAATACATAAACAAAAGCACAATTAAACTACGCACAAGAAAATTGTCCAAGAAGACAGAGCAAAATGCAACGTTAGCCATGTCTGGCTCTCAGGTGGGATTATGGGCCATTTATGTTCATTTTTATCACTTTGGTCAATTTTGCTACAAAGAACGTGTATTTATGTTTTTCCTGATTGTAAAAGTAACTTCAGACGATTCTGTTTACTTGGTGCTACTAAGCATCAAATAAAATGGCCTAAAGATATGAATGGCCACTTCACCAAGGAAGATACAATAAAATAAGCACGTAACAAGATGCTCAAGAGAAAGAGAAAACGGAACCAGTTTTCCACATTAGCACCGCGTACTTTATTTGATGGGGAGGGGTGTGGAGCAGGGATCACAGAGGGGCAAGAGGTGGCTTTGGGGACAGATGAGTATGTTCGTTAGCTTGATTGTGGTGATGATTTCACAGGTGTGTGCAGTATGTCCAAACTTACCAAATTGCTGAATGCGGAAAGATGATGTGGTGTATATACACACCATGGAATATTACTCAGCCATAAAAAAGAATTAGATTTTGCCATTTGCAACAATATGATGGACCTCCAGGGTATTATGTTAAGTGAAATTAAGTCACACAGAGAAAGACAAATACCAATGATCTCACTCATATGCGGAATTTAAGAAACAAAACAAACAAACGAAGAAAAAAAGAGACAACCCAGACTCCTAACTGCAGAGAACAAACTAATGGTGACCAGAGGCGGGGGGTGGGCGGGGGGGGGTGTGTGTGTGTGTGTGTGAAGCAGGATGGGGATTAAAGAGTACACTTATCTTGATGAGTCCCGAGTAATGCACAGAATCGTTGAATCACGATCACTGAAGCTAACATAACAATGTACTTTAATTATACTGGAATTTACAGAAACTTATCAAATTATACATTTGAAATATGTGTATGTTAACTGCAGCTCAATGAAACTGTTAAAACACATTCAACTTATTTGATGCTATTAATGGCTGACTGTTAAATGTTAAGAAAAGAGTCCTTCTCTTCAGAGATTTACACTCAAGTATTTCAGGGTGAAATAATATGATGCTTGGCTATGCTTTAAGATAATCCCATGCATTGTGGGTGTGTGGGGTGTGTAAGAGTGGGTGGAGGGGTGTGTAAAAATAAGAATGGCCACTAGTCAATACTCACTGAAGCTGGACAGGTGTATACTCTTCTATTTCTGCATGCACCTGAAATTCTATAGCAAAAAGGTTTTTTAAAAAGGCCCAACCTATGAAATGGCTGATTTCAGGTCTGGGATAGAAAAGGTACAAGAATAACTTGAACATCCTGTCACATAAGGAAAGAAAGTATCTGGATAGCAACACGCAAAAGAATGAAAATGGACCACTTTCTTACACCACACACAAAAATAAATTCAAAATGGACTCAAGACCTAAATGTGAGACCCGAAGCCATAAAAATCCTAGAAGAGAACACCGACAGTAACTTCTCTGACATCAGCCATAGCAACTTTTTCTAGATATGTCTCTTGAGGCACGGGAAACAAAATAAAAAATGAACTATTGGGAGTACATCAAAATAAAAAGCTTCTGCAAAGTGAAGGAAACCATCAACAAAACTAAAAGGCAGCCTATAGAATGGGGGAAGATATTTGCAAATGACATATCTGATAAAGGGTTAGTATCCAAAGTGTATAAAAAACTTATAAAACTCAACACCCAGGGGCACATGGGTGGCTCAGTTGGTTAAGTGTCTGACTCTTGATTTCGGCTCAGGTCATGACCTCTCAGTCAGTGGGCCCTGTGCTGGGTGTGGAGCCTGGTTAAGACTCTCTCTCCCCCTCTGCCACCCCCCTCCCCCACTGATGTGCTAGCTCACTCTGAAAACAAACAAAACACAGAAGACAAAAACAAAAAAACCCTCAAGATGCAAAAAACGAACAATCCAATTAAAAATTGGGCAGAAGTCTTGAACAGACATTTTCCAAAGAAGAAATACAGATGGCCAACAGACCCATGAAAAGATGCTCAACATCATTCATCATCAGGAACATGTAAATCAAAACTACAATGAGATACCACCTCACACCTGTCAGAATGGCTAACCCAACAACACAGGGAGCAACAGGTGTTGACAAGGATGTGGAGAAAAAACAACCCTCTCGCACTGCTGGTGGGAATGCAAACTGGTGCAGCCACTCTGGAAAACAGTATGGAGGTTCCTCAAAAAGAAAAGTTCCTTAAAAACAGAACTACCCAACCTACAATCCAGCAATTGCACTACTAGGTATTTACCCAAAGAATACAAAAATACTAATTTGAAGGGATACCTGCACCCCAATGCTTATAGCAGCATGACCTACAATAGCCAAATTATGGAAACAACCTAAGTGTCCACTGATTGATGAATGGATAAAGAAGATGTGATGCGTACATACAATGGAATAACACTTAGCTGTAAAAAAGAATGAAATTTTGCCATTTGCAATGATGTAAATTGAACTAGAGAGTGTTATGCTGAACGAACAAGTCAGTCAGAGAAAGACAAAATGCCGTATGATTTCACTCATACTGAAGGAAAAAAACCAACCGAGCAAATGGGGGTAGGGAGAGAGATGCCAACTACGAAACAGACTCTTAACTGCAGAGAACAAACTGATGGTTAATAGGGTGTGTGTGTGTGTGTGCGCGCGCGTCTGTGTGTGTGCATGAAACAGGTGATGGGGACTAAGGAGCATACTTATCATGAGTATCAAGTGTTGTATGGAGATGTTGAATCACAAGTATTGTACTCCTGAAACTAATATTACACTGTATGTTAACTGGAATTTAAATAAAAACTTAAAAAGTATCAGACTTTTGAGGTCATGTCAAAAGGACTCATGGGCAAGTACATTATACCTCAATTCAAATGTTAAATTTTAAAAATAGACTCAAGGGGTGCCTGGGTGGCTCAGTCAGTTGAGCGTCAACCCTGATTTCAGCTCAGGTCACAATCTCAGGGCCGTGGGATTGATCCCCACGTGGGATCGAGCCCTGCGTGGGGCTCCACACTCAGTGTGGAGCCTGTCTGGAATTCTCTCTCTCTCTCCCCACCCCCATTCCCCACCCCATCCCCCTACTCTCCCTCTCTCTCAAAATAAAGCTCAGGGGCATCTGGGTGGCTCAGTCGGTTAAGCATCTGTCTTCAGCTTAGGTCACCATCTCGTGGGGCATGAGTTCGAGCCCTGCGCTGGGCTCTCTGCTCTCAGCACAGAGCCTGTTTCAGATCCTCTGTCCCTCTCTCTCTGCCGCTCCCTTGTTGTGCGCTCGCTTGCTCTCTCGCTCTCAAAAAACAAACAAATGCTAAAAAAATAAATCTTAAAAAAAAAGAACACAAAATAATTTCAGGAGACTTATACTCCAAAAATATGGGACAATCTGAGCATCAATTAGAGTAATCACTGAAAGGTATTCAAACATATCAAGAATTTTAAAATCCTTAGTTAATGATGATCCTAAAGAAAGAAACTGGTTACCTATCTAGGTAACAGAGAACCAAATCATTATTATCAAACTGGTAAATACAGGGAAAGAATCAAGCATTTAACTGACCTTTCTGTATAAACTGTGCTTAGGGTAATCAAAATGGTTGCTGAGTGAAATTTTACTTTTTTTTTAAATTTAATTTAATTTTTTTAGACGTACTTAGCTAACACATGAAGAAGTGACAGAATTACAGAATCACCATTTTGCAGGCAAAGGATGAACGATCATGGTGGCTGCTACCATCAGAGAGAGAGAGAGACAATTAGCCATGCTGAGCCTCCTAATGGGAGAAGATGCCACCAGCCATGAAGCAGTCTTGTCAAATACCTAAACCAATGCAAGCCGCTAGATTTCCCTACTGAATTATGGGATGTACAGGACACATTACGTGTCTGGTGACAGAGGAGCCTGTCAGGGGACACCGCAGAGGGACAATGAGCAAAATTTAAGATGTGGGCAAACTATGGGACAAAATGACCTGGTTTCTTCAACAAACAAATGCAGGGTGACAAAAAAAGGGAGGGAGAATCCAGACAGTAAAAGAGACTTAAGACACATAATAACCAAATGCAGACCTTGTTTGGAACACGTCAACTGGAAGAAGAAAAGATGTGGTCTATTTGAATACCGACAAGTTACCTGATATCAGAGAATTCAGTTTTGTCTTTAAAAGAGTCCTTACTTTTTAGAGATTCCCAATGAAATACTTACCTATGGGAAAATAAGATATCTCAGATTTTCAAAACAGTCAGGGGCGGGAGGTGGAGGTTATCACTGAAATGAACATGGCCATAAGTTGTTATAGCTGGTAAGGGTACATGGTAGTTTTGTACTCTTATCCTGTTATTGTGTGTGTTTGAAATTAAAAAAAAAATATATGTAACTTAAAAAAATTTTTTTTAATGTTTATTTTTGCGACAGAGAGAGCATGCGTGCGCACATGAGTGGGGGAGGGGCAGAGAGAGAGAGAGAGAGAGAGACACAGAATCTGAAAAAGACTCCAGGTCATGAGCTGTCAACACAGAGCCCGACACAGGGCTCTAACTCAAGAACAGTGAGATCACGACCTGAGCTGAAATCAGGCGCTTAACCGACTGAGCCACCCAGGTGTCCCCCTCAAAAACCTAACTTCTTTTATCTTTTTATTTTTTTTTAATTTTTTTTTTTTCAATGTTTATTTATTTTTGGGACAGAGAGAGACAGAGCATGAACGGGGGAGGGGCAGAGAGAGAGGGAGACACAGAATCGGAAACAGGCTCCAGGCTCTGAGCCATCAGCCCAGAGCCTGACGCGGGGCCCGAACTCCCCGGACCGCGAGATCGTGACCTGGCTGAAGTCGGACGCTTAACCGACTGCGCCACCCAGGCGCCCCTCAAAAACCTAACTTCTAAAGATATCTTTGCCTCCTAACTTAGATGAGAAATAGGGGGGTAGTTCTTTATCAAAAGTGTTTCCCAACCTGTTTTTTTTTTTAAATCAGCCCTTAAGAAATCTGTTAAAAACTTTTTGTTTTTCCCCATAATCCTGCCCCCATGAAATGTTAACACCACAGATATACTATAAATCTGTTTATGTACTGTGGTCTTTTAGAGGGGGCCGCAACTCCTGTATTACGGGAGACTTGTGTATTCCACGCCTATCGTCGCCCTGGGGGCAATCCTGCTCTTGCTGAATACGCAAGCTCTCTCGGAGCACCGGTCCCAGAAATAAAGTCTGCATGTGTCCAACCACATCATGGTTAGTACAAGAGAAAGGGAGAAGACCAGGTTATGGATTTGTAGGTCTGGCGTCAGGGTGGGTGCTGAGGCGGTGAGTGCCTGGCTATTTCCTATCAGATAAGGAGGAAAACCAACCACCCAGTAAGGTGGTTACCAGGAGGCACTTCAATGGGGAGCGGTCTCTTTCCCGTCTAATGAGAATAGGAATTGCACCAGGCACTAGGGTTGGCGGAATCTTATCACACACCTCTCGGCCTTTTGGCTAGTTGCCTGATTGTCAAATGGCCACCCGCAGGGAGGGGCTGGTGGCACAGAAGAGCCAAAGGAGCCCACTGATAAGATTCTGCCTGCTTTCACACTGGGTGAGGAGTCACGTGCCTATTTGCTCTGGTTAATGCTAAGATTACTTTTATGTTTTTTAAATAGAGGGTCATCGCTGGATGCATGCCCCACGAATGTTCTGCCAGACACTAAAAACCTACCAGAGGGCTAATATTGGCTACAAAAAGCCCAGAGTTTACTGCATAAACAAAATGGGTAATTTATGATAAAAGCAGGGATTTTCCAAAATTAAACAAATAACAGCGATAACACAAAAAACAACAAACCTTCTACCTAAGGACCTCCAAGCCCATTTGTCAAAATTTCTGAAACTAATGTTTTTTTGGGTTTTAAGATAATACGTGTACATAGTAAACACAATGTTTTCCAAATGGCACAGAAATGTGTTAAGTGACACACAAAATTCTCTCTTCCATCCAAGTCTCAATCCGTAGAGGAAAATACTGTAACAGTCTGCGTATCCTTCCAGACACATTCTGTGCATATGACAACATACAGATACGTACATGTGTGGATTTTCCAATGTGCTTTTCCCTACTTTCAGTTAACAATACAACGTGGGCATCGTTCCTTATTAGCACACCAGCGTCACCACCTTCTGCAGTGGATCCACGTTGGGTGGGCCCAATTTATGGAACCTGTCCTGGTGACAGGCACTTCGCTTGGTTTCTTTGTGCTGCTCTTACCAACGACGCTGCAGTGAACGTCTTGTTTAATGACGTTTTGGGGCTCAAACTTCAGCTCTCACTGCGACTGTCACTCTGTGAAGTCATTTACCGAGGAGCAGATGGGCACACAAGGCCCGGGTGCCTGCTGGTGTCCCACAGCCAGCGTGTCCTGGAGAAGCCCAGCGAGCGGCCCAGGCAGTCAGGCGCCTAGCCCTGCTCTTCACCTTGACCGCCCCCCCACCCCCCACCATGCCGCCTGTGTTCCAGGTGCAAAGAAGTGAAACGGCAGATCACAGGGCAGGTGCGGTTTGAATTTGGACACTTATTGACAAACTGTTCTACAAGGAGACTGCGTCAATTTAGCACCCACCACACCCACGAGTGTCTTTTTCTTCGTATCGTAATGCTCTCTCATCCTTGACAGTAACATGGGTGAAAACGATGCCATCTGGTTGTTTCAGTTTACACGTCTTTAATTATGAGTGAGCGTTTTCTCCCGTGAACTTACTGGTTATGTGTAATTACTTTTCTCCATGCAAATGCAGAAATTTGCCATGTCGGCACATTCCAGGTATCTTATGATTAAAAAAATATTCATTTTATAGCACAGCATTTGCTAACTCTTCGTGAAGGAGAAATCAGCTGGTGCAGTCAAAGCGAAGAATAATTTATCAATACCTCATAAAGCTGAAGATGCCTATTACCTGTGAACTACTAATCCCCTGCTTCAGTATATAACCATAAAGTATAAAAACTCCCCAAGAATTTCCACAGCGGCACTGTTTCTAAGGGCAACAACCTCCGTGTGCATGGACAGGAAAATGCACGAACTAAGATACGCTCAGAAGAGAAAATGCGTGAATTGGAGCCAGAGAGGTCAACGCTCAAAGCTACTTGCAGAAGGACATGCTCAGTTCATGCCTCTCATGTTCAGGCTGAGGGCTCCTAGCGCCTGCGTGTACAGACCCGTAGTCCAAGGAGGGAAATGCGCCCAGTAAGGGCGCCTGGCTCGGCTGCGGGAGCATGGTTCCGCTAGAGAGGGTGGGGAGCCGGGGGCTTCAGTTGTGTCTGCGGTTTTCCTAAGCAGCGGGCACGGAGATGACGGACGGGCCGTTCTCTCTACTTTTTTCAATTAAAAATAAATAAACAAAGAGCTCACCTTATATTCCCAGAGATTCTGGGGGGGCTTCACCCCCAGTGCTTTGACACGCTCCAGTTCCAGGAGGATGGCTCTTCTGTGGCTGCTGTTTTCTATGTTATATGGCGCCCTTGAAAATTCTTCCTCTGTCAGAGTTAAAAGCAACCTGTTGGGGGGGAGGGGAGCAGTAGATTTCTTGTGAGATTATACACTGGAAGCCAACTCTTCACACCCAGGGTTCCAACCTATCAACACAAATACTTCGGGCTTCCGGTAAGGCAAGATACCTGGTATATGAAGTAACAGTAATAACAGCAAACTACTGAATGCTTGTTAATTGTTAGTGACTCTCTGAAAGTACTTCCACAAACCGTCACCAATCCGCTTAACAATTCTGCAGAATAGGTGGAATTATGAGCATTACGTGCATGACAAAATGGTTTGGAGGAATAGAGTGGCTCGGCCGAGGCACACCCCGGTCTGTTTTGCTCCTAACTTCTGATCTTTCAGCTAAGCAGCTGAGTTCTCCCAGGGTACTCTGTTTTGCAAAGAAAAATGTAGTATATATTTTACATAGAATAAAATATTCTATATAAAATTACATATAATATGTTTCTGTAACATATAGAAAAAAATTGGAAAGAAATCCAATAAAATGTGATGACTCGAACAGGAGCTGTTCTGGGGTGGGGGCGGGGGTGCGCCTTAGTGGCTCAGTCGGCCAAATGTCCGACTCTTGGTTTTGGCTCAGGGCACAATCTCACATTTCATGAGTTCAGGCCCAGCATCGGGCTCTGTGCTGATGGTGCAGAGACTGCCTGGGATTCTCCCCCTTTCCCCCCTCTCTGTCTGTCCCCCGATCACACGGTCTCTAAATAAATAAGTAAATAAATAGAAAAAAAAAAGTAGCTGTTTTGGGGTTGTAATTTAATAAAAATATTTGTAGATCCCTTATCTGGTCCCTTCCATTGGAAAATATGACTCCGACTCCACAAGAGCCAATCGTTGAAACCACCCCTGTGCACCAGCAAGCGGAGACCCAGCAGGCACACAACCACTGGGGGAGGGATGTAAACTGTCCTCTCGTGGGTGATTTGGAAACACTGATCAAAGTTATAAAGGCTTATTTCCTTTGACGTGGAAATTCCAGTTCTAGGAATCCATCTTCTGGAAGGAAGGCAATGAGGCAAAGATGTATCAGCCAGGTAGACAACAAAAATGTTTTTAACCACAATTCGGGGGAGGCACCAATTCTTACAAAAAGCAGACAACTCAACTGGGAGCGTGTGGCTTTCCCAAAGGAGAGTTAAGAGTTGAAAGTTCAGTTCGGGGGGAAAATGTGACTGGGGTGTGAGGTGGGCAGGCAGGGGCCTGGATGGTGCATCTGAAACAAGCAGATTAGCAGGAGTGGCTATTCTCAGCACTGCGTGGCACACTATACTCTCCCTACACAGTCCCTCCAAGGAAGGAAAGAGCCCAAGAAAGATGGTCAGTGTTCTGGAAGGGGGCACGGGGACATGCTAATGGGCAGAGGCAGGCCTGCCCATAGCCTGGCAATCCCATCCTGGAATTCCTTGTATCAGGGCATCTGCTACAACATTGCTTGGAATTGTCTGGGACAGGAAAAAGGAAACAGCCCAGACGTGCCTTGGTGAGATCAACTAAAGTGACTCTAGTACACACACATACGTACGTACATATGTATACGTATATGTACCTATAATCACAGATCTGTTTAATAGAGTTGTATTTCCAGTTTAAACAATTAATATACACTTATGTGTATCTCTGTATAAACGTGGAAGAAAATCCAGAAAGATGTCCAGAAACATGCTAACAGTGGTTTTCTCTGGAGAGTAGATTTATGAGGGTATTTCACTTCCATACCCTACAGTTCTATGTTAATTTTAAAATAACTAAAAAAAATACATGGTTCTTTTCTAATTCAGAAGCAACACACAAAATGCCAGTCACATAAAATGGTTCGGCTGCTCTGGGGAGCGGTGTGACATTTCCTCAAGAAGGGAAATACAGAAGGTGACTTCAGGCCCCAGCAACGGCACTCGGGCAGACATGCACGGGCCCTCGGAAGCACAGGGTTACACAAAAACCCACATGCAAAGGATCAGAACAGCTCTGTTCGTGAGAGCCCCCAAACGGAGCAACCTGAACGACTGAAGGATGGGTACTCAAGTGCAGCGTAGCCACAAGTGGGAATACTGCTCAGCCATAAAGATGAAGGAAGGATTAGGGGTGCCCGGGTGGCTCAGTCAGTTAAGTGTCTGACTTTGGCTCATGTCATGATCCTGAGGTTCATGGGTTTGAGCCCCACGTCGGGCTCTGTGCTGATAGCTCAGAGCCTGGAGCCTGCTTCGGATTCTGTGTCTCCTTCTCTCTCTCTGCCCCTCTCTCGCTTGGTCTCTCTCTCTCTCTCTCTCTCTCTGTCTCAAAAATAAATAAACACTGAAAAAAAAAGACGAAGGAAGCACTGACCCACGTGACAACTTGGATAAACCTTGAAAATGCTCTGCAAGGTGAAAAAGCCAGACGCTAAAAGATTCCGTTTACAGGGATTACTCTAACAGGCAAATCCACGGAGCCAGAAAGGAGAATGGTGGTCGCCTGGGGATGAGGGAGGGGGCATGAGGACCAAAGAGGGGAGGGTAAGAGCTTTCTTTTTGGAGTGATGAAAACGTCCTAACACTAGACTGTGGTGATGGCTGCACATGTCTGTGGATACATTAAACGACATGGATTGGACACTTTCAATGGGTGAATTTCATAGTATGTGGGTTATGACTCAGTAAAGCAGCTTACAAAAAGGTCAATGACACGTCAGAAGAGCCAGCGTCTCACCTTCCATTCACTCTTTCAGATAAAAACCGGTCTCTGTAGAGAGAGGCCCAAGGGCCCAGCTGCTCCAGCCAGAGGACCACTTCTTCTGCTGTCCATTTGGCCACAGCCTTGTGGACCAGGAGGTCGTGCTCAGATTCCCTGCTGCTCCAGTGATACACGAGGAGGACCACCTGGGGACAAGGGACAGAGGCCTTAAGACACAGAAAGGTCAGAGAAGCCAGCTTCTCACGAGTGTGGGGCGGGGAAGGGAAGGCTGAGCTTGACGGGAACGACGCCGAGTCGGTACAAGGAACCACTGGCACCGAGAGTTGCGGAGGAGAACTCCAGGTGGGCCCCTGTCTCTGCTGGTTGTGGGGCTGTGAGGGAACAGAGATGGGAACAGGACTCGGCATAGAGCATCTGGGAGCGCAGCACCCTGGGCCCCAACATCCTGGCCAGCATAACTTCTTCATGTGCCTTTTCTACTGGAAAATTTGTAACCTTTAAATTTGTGTAGCATGGGGCGCCCGGGTGTTAAGTTAAGTGTCTGAGTTCAGCTCAGGCCATGATCTCGTGGCCCATGGGTTCGAGCCTCACATCAGGCTCTGTGCTGACAGCTCAGAGTCTGGAGCCTGCTTCAGTCTCTGTGTGTGTGTGTGTGTGTGTGTGTGTGTGTGTGTGTGTGTGTGTGTCTTTCTCTCTCAAAAATAAATAAACATTAAAATAATAATAATAATAATAAATTTTCGTACCAGGGAACCGAGAATAAAACAGTCTCCGTGTGAGATGTTAGTAAAGGGCTATGCTCAAGACTCAACCACCCAGGTAGACACGGTCTCGGATTCTAAATGGGAATAACTGGGGCACCTGGCTGGCTCAGTCGGTATAACATGCGACTCCTGATCTCGGGGTTGTGAGTTCAAGCCCCATGCTGGGGATAGAGCTTACATTAAAACCAAAATAAAAGAAATGGACAAATGGGATGGGAATAATCACGGTGACTATTGCAGGGGTGAGGAAGAGGATGAATGGAACGAAGCTAAGAAGAACTGGGCCCTGAATATTATACTGCCTACTTGAGTACACAGCTTCCCTGAAGAATCATCTGACCCAGCGGATGTCAAATGCATGCAATGAATGACCACATACAGGTAAGCTATCAATTTCCACAGAAGTGATGTCAGTGAAAACTGGGAGTGGGTCAGGGGGCAGAGAAACACAGCGGTACACTTACTGCCACACCAGTTAAAGCGGTGAGCACTCCGGAAAAGAATCCCCCACCTCTCTGTGCATTCACTCGGCCTGTGTTGGTAGCCAAAGGAGCCTGATCATTCCCATATTTGTGAAAGGCTGCAAGACTCTGGATTATGTCATTATTCTGCTGAATGTCCTCAAATCGCATTCTAATGGCATCAGGAAATAATTTTTCAGTGGCATCCCTATGAAGAATAGGAAAAAAAATCACGTGACAGTTGTTTGACTAAATACACTTAGGATGTTTAGAGGCTAAAATAAAACTAACAGTCAATATTTAACAACATACAGGCACTTTAGAACAATGGTCAAGACTGACTATGGCCCGGTTGGTAACACCAAAAAGGACTGGAAACAACCGATGTGTCTACTGTTAGAGAAACAGTCAAATTATGGTCTATTCACACAATGGAATGTTACAAAGTTTTAAAAATGAATTTACTGGATATCATTTGTATTGAGATGGATAAATTTAAGACATACATATTGTTGAGCGGAAATAATAAACGATGGGGTCGCCAGGGTGGCTCAGTCGCTTGAGTGCTCGGATTTCGGCTCAGGCCATGATCTCACGGTTCGTGGGTTCGAGCCCCACGTCAGGCTCTGTGCTGACAGCTAGGAGCCTGGAACCTGAAGCCTGCTTCGGATTCTCTGTCTCTCTCTCTGCCTCTCCCCCGCATGCACTCTGTCTCTCAAAAATAAATAAACATTAAAAAAAATTAAAAAACAAAACAAAGCTGTGGAGCCTTATAGATAGTACACCACTGATGTGAGGAAATACTTGCATTTCCTGCTGGCACACATAGGTACAAAAGTATCGTTAAAATTCTGAAGGAAATCACAACAGAGGCATGACTGAAATGACTCTGGGGCAAAGGAAGGACGTGGTGTAAGATGGGGAGGGGGAGGGCAAAGGGATCTTTATCAGTAAGCACTCTCAGTTTTTAAAAAGAATATAAACAAATGAAGGTTATCTATGTATTGCTGATGTTATTCAACATTAATTCCAGAAAACAAGTGGAGCTGTCTTCGTTTTCAATTACACATAATCAGAGAACCTTCCTTCAATTTAAGATCAATCTGCAGGTACCCCAGGCTGAGAGGTGAGAGCAAAGCGCTTGTCAACGTATCTCCCATGAAAAAGAGAATGTTAGGTTAACGTTTTCAGGGAACTTTCTGGTACTCTGTTAGTATCAGGAAGGCAACAGAAGAAAAGCAAGGACTTTAGGCTCGAAGACGTGACAGGTGCAATATGCATGCAAGCAGAAAGGAACCCTCTCTCTGAAAGGTCTTGCCATTTGTTGTGTGAAGCTATACACGGGAGACCATCTCTACTGATGTGAAAACTGGAAGTTTATCAAAGATTATGAAAATCAGTAGCAAACCGATTCGTACAGAGTCGTGCGGTGACGCCATTTTCTCTATGAGACCTGGGGTGTTCTCAGCGGATACAAATCGATAAAAAGTGTTATAGGACAAAGCATTACAAGCAATGGTCTGATAACCAGAATTTGTTTTTTCCTTTATGATAAATAAACACAAGCAAATCACGGTCACCTGTGAGGAAGGAAGTCTGGCTTTGCAGGTCCTTGAGCCCCCCGACTCCCAGGCCAGCAGATCTAGAATGACAGTGGGGGTCGGCCCTGCGCCTCTGGCCTTCTCAAACATGGCTGCTCCCATGAAGACAAAGCATAGTGCGCAAGCTGTATGGGCTACCGATATGGACCGAGCGTTACCTGAGGAGAATATTGACTTTGGGGAAACCTTCCCATTTTTCTCTGCATTCTGGACACTCTGTTTTCTTCGAAGAGGCCCACCATAAAGCTAGGCAGTGCCGGCAGAAGCTATGCCCACAGTTCAAGGTGGTGGGGTTAACCAGGATGTCGTAACAGCAGTGGCATGAAAATTCACTAACAGAAATCTGAGGGGTGGTGCTCTTGAGAGGGTCACCTTCCTCATGGGTCATCTTGTTCAGATCGTTCTGTGCAGGCCCCTCCATCTCTTAGAAAATCCTGGGGTTCACAAGCACAGAAAATTTCAGACTTAGGAAACTGCTCCAAAGCATCATTAAATCTAGGAAAAAAAAAAAAAAAGAAAAGGCAACAGAATTAGGACAAGGGTTTGAGATTACTGCCATTCTGTTAAAGCTGGTTTTTATAAATGTTTTTCTTTACATTTTGTTTACTTTGAGAGGGAGTGAGAGCATGAGTCGGGGAGGGGCAGAGAGCAAGAGGGAGAGAGAGAGTCCCAACCAGGCTCCTTGCAGAGCATAGTCATGGGGCTTGATCCCATGTCCATGAGATCATGACCTGAGCTGAAACCAAGAGTCAGATGCTTAACTGACTGAGCCACCCAGGTGGCCCCATTAAAGCTCATTTTTAAATGTGATCAATTTGACTTCTAAAAATTCACATTCCAGAAACCAAATAAACCTACTGAATTTCTTTCTGCCCTGTCATACTTCTGAAAATTAGGTGAAGCCAAATAATGCAGTAGAAAGTTCAGGGGACTTGGTGACAGTGGGGAATTCTAGATCCTTCTCTTTCACTAACTTACTTGGAAAATGTAATTCCTCTGGCCTCAGTGTTCTTAATTACATTTCTAAAGTCCTTTCTTGTGTATGATTTTACATAAACCAACTTCTTGGTGGAGGGGGGCGGGTCCCTGGGTGGCTCAGCCAGTTGGGTGTCCAAGTCTTGATTTCAGCTCAGGTCATGATCTCACGGTTTATGAGATGCAGCCCCACATTGGGGTCTGCAATGACAGCATGGAGCCTGCTTGGGATGCTCTCTCTCCTCTCTCTTTCTCTGTCCCCCTCCCCCAATTGTGTACTCTCTCTCAAAACAAATAAAGAAATAAACATTAAAAAAAAAAAAACACAGCTTCTTGGGCCAGTTAAATGTCTGAAGTTGGCAATAACAGATGTACTTCATGTAAATAATGCATTTTTTTATCCAAATGTTTTCCCAGTAGAGAATTATTTATGTTTATTTCACAAACATGTGATTTCAGAGGCTCCCACAGGTACAGTACCAAGAAGTGAGTGAAGCCTTATTTTGTGAGGTGCCCTGTGTCAGGTCAACTCCCTAGAGGCTCAATATACCCTTTCCTCCCAACTCAACCCGAACACACATCATGCCCTCTGGATCTGGCCAGTCGGGTGCCACAGAAACATGCCAATGTCGCTAATAAGCAAATGGCAGAGGACCATCTTCTCGTTCTCATCCGGGTCTTAGGAGACTGTTTTATTGAGAGGCAGGACGGTGCAGGACACCATGGAGTTAGAGTCGCTTGCTCTGTGACTGTGCACAAGTTACTTGAGCTCTCTGAGCCCTGTGTTCTCAACTGTGAAATGGTAGTTAACAGTATAAAAACCGCCAAGGTTTCTTGTGAGGATCAGAGAGGTTGAAAGTAAAGTGGCAGGGACGGTGTATGGTGTAAACAGGGGTTAATGCAATGACTATTCACACTACTCCTGGTATTAAGACAGTGGAGGCCCTGGTGAGTAAGGGTTTCTCCATCTCACTACTGTGAAGAGAAAGGAAGTAGTAAATCACTCTCCATCACCCACAGCGATCATGTAGAGAAGGGCTCTTGTTTTTACAGTAGGGCTGCCTGCGTTCTTACTAAATCTCTGCCATTCGCTAGCTGTAGGGTCTGGACTTCTTGGGAGTCTCAGCTTCCTCGTGTTTAAGTGTGCGTGTGTGTGTCTATGTGTGTGTGCGCGTAAGAACAGCATTTACCCCCCACTGGGAGGTTTAAGAATTGAATAGGAGAATGCAAGTGAAGTATCTGATCCTACAGAGCCTGACATGTGGTGAGTAAACCATATAGGGTAGCAATTTGCCTGATTTTCAAATACAGTCATGAGAATCTTATCTTTTATTGAGTGACATATTATGCTTATAGAATACCATATTTTACTTATTTATTTATGAATGTTTATTTATTTTGAAAGAGAGAGCGTGCGAATGTGCAAGCAGGAGAGGGGCAGAGAGAGGGAGAGGGAGAGAATCCCTGACGGTGTGGAGCCTGGGGCTCTATCTCATGAACTGTGAGATCATGACCAGAGCTGAAGTCAAGAGTCAGACACTCAACCGACTGAGCCACCCAGGCACCCTGAGACTACTATAGTCTAAATAAGCAAATCTATAGGGGCACCTGGGTGGCTCGGTCGGTTAAGCCTCCAACTCTTGGTTTTGGCTAGGTCACGATCTTAGGCTTTGTGGGTTCAAGTCTTGGGTGTTGCTCTGGACTGACAGCATGGAGCCTGCTTGGGATTCTGTCTCTCTGTCTCTGCTCCTCCCTCACTTGCTCTTCCTCTCAAAAATAAATAAGTATTAAAATAAAGAAGCACATCTATAAACAAAGACAGAAGAAAATACAATGAAGTATTTGTAGTGGGTCTGGGTATGCTGGGTGGGGGAGGGTCGTGATTATTTTGGTTTTCTGTATATACCAAATTGTTTTTAATAAAAATGTATATTATAATAATTATAAAAACACATATAAAATTGTAAAAAATATATTGTATTCCCTTTGACGCAACACTAGTGGGGGATTTTAAACTCCAACAATAAACACAGCTAAATTTTAAACTCAGTGTTAAAGTGGAATAAAGGTCCTCATCAGTACTAAAAAGACAATTAGGTAAAGATAAATATAAAATTAAAGGATTAAATATAAAATATAAAATTTTAAAATATAATAATTACATTCATACTGTTATTCACAATAATAAATTATAGTAAAGAGGGGGACCACCTTCTGTATAAGCCTAAACTGTTGTTTTTGGGGCACTTGGCTGGCTCAGTTGGTGGAGCATGCTACTATTTAAAAAAAAAAATTTTTTTTTTAATGTTTATTCATTCTTAAAAAAAAATTTTTTTTTAAAATGTTTATTTATTTTTGAGACAGAGGGAGACAGAACATGAGTTGGGGAGGGGCATAAAGAGAGGGAGATACAGAATCAGAAACAGGCTCCGGGCTCTGAGCTGTCAGCACAGAGCCCGATGCAGGGCTTGAACCCACGAACCGTGAGATTATGACCCGAGCCGAAGTTGGACGCTTAACTGACTGAGCCACCCAGGCGCCCCATGTTTACTCATTCTTGACAGAAGACACAGCATAAGTGAGGGAGGAGCAGAGAGAGAGGGAGACACAGAATCCGAAGCAGGCTCCAGGCTCTGAGCTGTCAGCATACAGTCCGATGCAGGGCTCGAACCCATGAATCATGAGATCGTGACCTGAGCCGAAGTCAGACGCACAACGGACTGAGCCCACAGGCACCCTGGAGCATGCTACTCGTCATCTCAGAGCTTGAGCCCCACGATGGGGGCAGAGATTACTTAAAAATAAAATCTGGGGGATGGGATGCCTGGGTGGCTCAGTGGGTTTCAGCTGAGGTCATGATCTCACGGTTCGTGAGCTCAAGCCCCATGTCAGGCTCTGTGCTGACAGTGCAGAGCCTGCCTGGGATTCTCCCTCTCTCTCTGCCCCTCCCCTGCTTGGGCTCTCTCTCTCAAAATAAATAAACTTAAATAATAAAAATAAAAAATAAATACAAATAAAATCTTGAGGTGCTTGGGTGGCTCAGTCAGTTAAGCGTCTGACTCGATTTTAGTTCAGGTCATGACCTCACGGTTTGTGAGTTCGAACCCCACATCATGCTCCAACTGTCAGTGTGGAGAGTGGACCCTTTTTCTCTCTCAAAATAAACTAAAAGAAACCAATTTTTTTTAATCTTAAAAAAAAGCTGTTCTTTTTGGAAGAAAGAGTTCAAATAAATATTCTTTTTTTTTTTTAAATTTTTTTTTCCAACGTTTTTATTTATTTATGGGACAGACAGAGACAGAGCATGAACGGGGGAGGGGCAGAGAGAGGGAGACACAGAATCGGAAACAGGCTCCAGGCTCTGAGCCATCAGCCCAGAGCCTGACGCGGGGCTCGAACTCATGGACCGCGAGATCGTGACCTGGCTGAAGTCGGACGCTTAACCAACTGCGCCACCCAGGCGCCCCTCAAATAAATATTCTTAATGACAAACTCTAAATCATTTCTGATCATATTTACTTATTAGTTGTATGTTTAGTAACACTAAAAAAATTCCTAAGTGCTTTCCTGTAGGCAGTCCCTTCACATTTCTAAGTGGGAGATCTTATGCAGATTTTTAGAAAAAGGAATCATTTGCATAAGGTAGTTCCTTTATCTGGCTAATATTGATTAAACAACTGCCACGAGGGGGCCATTATCCCAGGAAATAAACAACTGAACCACTGCTATTAACTGAGCACCTCCTACGAGCTGGGCACTGGGCTTGCCTTCTAGGTACATTCAGGATCTCAATCGGGATTCAGTGTCAGAGGAAAGATCCCAAGTGAAGGAGGGGCAGGGGAGGGGTCAGGAAAGATGGGCTGGACTCAGTGCCTTCGTGGGGAGCAGTGAGTGACCCAGAACTACCGGTCTGATATGGGGTCGTGTGTACCTAGGTAATGAGAGGTGGGCCAATGGGAGAAGAGAAAGGTTTCAGAGGCAATGGGATCAGCAAAGCGGTGCCAGAGGATGATAAATCTCCTCAGGAAGGAGGGCCGGGCTAGGACATCCTAGAAGTAAAATGTTTCATCACTTCTGGGACTGAGGGGATAAAGAGGGAAAACAGCACAAGAATGACAAGTGATAAAAAAAGGGATCGATGCTATCTGAGGGCTGTTAAAGAAATAACTTACAGACTCTGGGGACGAGAGAGAAGAAAGACCAAAGATGCTGGCCAGGTGTCAGAGCTGGGGAGGAAGAGAGGTTCCCTTCAGCAAGCCTCAGAGAGAAGGTTAAGTTGAATTTTAGAAAAGGGGAGTTCGAGGTGATGACACGACTCCCAAGTAGGATGGTCTAGTGAGCAGCTGGAGGGACCAAACTGCAGCTGGGAGTTAAGAATGAGGCCACTGTGCGCACTTGCGAGTAATCTGCAGAGAAATGACAACTTTGTACTGAAATTAGTTTCTCACCAATTAGCCTTTTAAAACTAGAAGGTACCAGTCGTTCCCAGCTTACCCCATCTGAAAGTTTATTTCTCCTGA